GGGGGGGGGGGGGGGGGGGGGGGGGGGGGGGGGGGGGGGGGGGGGGGGGGGGGGGGGGGGGGGGGGGGGGGCGGGTCGCACGGGGGGGAAGTTGGGTGTCGGGGGAAAAGATCGAGAGTCGGGGAGGGGAGGTTGCGCGGGAGCGGGATCGGAGTCGCGAAGAAGAAGAAGAAGATAAGAAGAAGATAAAAAAAAAAAAGGAAGAAGAGGAGGAAGAAGAAGATGATGATGAAAAGAAGAAGACCAAGATGAAAAGGAGTAGAAGAATCGAAGAAGAATCGAAGAAGAAGAAAAGAATAGAAAAATAAAAAAAAGAAAATTGTCGTCGATTACTTATCTGCGCGGGGTAGCAACGACGATGACGAGGATGGCACGACGTGGCGACGAGGACGACGGGCACGGCGATGGTGGCGTGGGACGATGACGAAGATCGCGATGGTGACGATGATGACGTGGCACGACGACGACGATCGCGACGATGACGGTGATGATGTGGCACGACGGCGACGATCACGACGATGACGTGGCACTACGACGACGATCACGACGATGATGCTGATGATGGCCAGGTGATGGCGACGAAGCAGGGTGGGTCGGGCGGGTTCGAACCGCTCCGATACCAGTGTGACGGGCGTGAGGCTGAGGGAGAGCCGAGGGAGAGGAGAGAGAGAGGGAGAGAGTGAGAGCACACACACACTCCCTCACTCGATACGACTGAGGGTCGGACGCAGACACAGTGCCAAGGCACAAAGTCGAAGTCTTCGATTCCGAATGCCGAAACAGCAAGTCACACTGAGTACGAGTACAGCAGCAGAAAACTGGTACGAGACCGGTCCCTGTACCGTACGGGGAGCCGGTATAAGTACCGGTGACACGTACGGTACCAGGGGCATTTCTGCAAAGGCCCCGAGGGCAGAACTGAAAATGTGGTATTTGAAAGTGGCGCCCGAATTGCAGCATGGCGCCAGTTGTCCAAAATCCTATGGTACCAAAGGAGGGGTTTGGAAAAGGGTGCCAGGCCGAAAACGGGATGCAGCCGAAACAGCAAAAAGATAGACCAGGGATCGAGCCCTGGCGGAGTCCGTAACACACAGGTTCAAACACTCGGGGGTCGACTCGATACTGTACATGGGCAAAGTGAGGTCTGAGGATCGAACTCTAGGGCCTGCATCTGTGACTGCAGAAAGGTGAAAACCGTTTCACAAGACGGACCTAAGAAAAATTGAACTTCGGCAACCCCCGCGGCCGAAAAGCCTTAGGGCTTTGTTTCAATTGTGCGGCTTATGGTCTAGATTATGTTTTGCTTGGTACTTTTCTATGTGGGTGCTGGCATGACGGTTTGTGATTGGTGGGGTATGCCAGTCAGCTCCTACATGACCACATACGGAAGGGAACTCCTCTGCAATGAATTGCAGTGCTACAAGCGGGCTGTACACTAATTTTGTCCCTGTTGTCGTTGTCGGGACTTGATCCCACAACCTTTGTCTGCTGTGTTGCCTGTTTTCCTGCTGTTTGCTTGTTTTGAGCCTTGCGGGACTTGATCCCATGACTTGTAGCTTGTGTGTGTTTTGTTTGTGAGTGTTGCGTCCTCTGGGACTTGATCCCTGAGTCTGCCGCTAGTGATCTCTGTTTGGTAGTCTTAGGCCATTAGGCCTTTATCTTGTGCCCTGTTGTAGGTCTGTGTCTCCTTTTCCCATTTCCTGGGTAGGTACAGGAGAGTCGTAGGTTGCTCTTGTAGGTCTAGGCCGGGAGTAGAAGTAGGGGGCAGGAAATTGTTTTCAGGTCTTTTGCATCTCGTTTTTGCTGGGGAAACTCTGCCCGTTCGTTGCTGGAGCGCTGCTGTGCTATTTTGGGCGAGGGCATCTTCTTCCTCGAAGCCCAGCCATAGCTGGGGCTGGGAAACGAGATTGAAGATCGCACTGCTGCTATTTAGCAGCTCTGCCCGAGAGCTTCCACAGGATTTTGTTGTTGGGTTTGGGTGCTGCCATCCTCCACTTGGCAGAGCCATATCTGCTGTTCCTTCTCACAAGGAACTTCATCTTCATCTTCTTCGAAGTGCTGGATCGGTTGTCTCCTTCTTCATCAGGACCTCCAGAGCTGCACTTCCGTGCGGGTGCTGAGCTGGTGCTACTATCATTGGAGTTGTTGGTTCAGATTGGCATGTTGTGACATCTGTGGGGTTACTGCTGCTACGGCAGCCATTGCCAGAGGTATGAGGTGGTGAGGAGGAAGAAGAAGACTCCTGCACACATTTTTGGTTGTTCGGGGTTGTTGTAGTACTCTGGATTGATTGGAGGAGGACGGGGGATTACAGAATTGAAATTCGTTTTTCAATTCTCTGTGTATTTCAAGCTTCTGCTGTGCATATCTCTCTCCGGTTCTGTGTGAATTTGCCTCCTTCGAGCCTACTCTGCAATTGCATGTGTGTATGGGAACGTGTGAATTCGTTGTGGATTGAAGTTAATCGGGTACATAGCACCTTCAAAAAATACATGTGTGGCTTGTTCAGGATTTGTCTTCACTAAATGCTTACTAAGATTTACAACCTTTGTGTTGCAGTGCATTTCTTGTGGATATCTCCGTTGCTGATGGAGTGTGGCCTGTGTTTCTCCTTTGCTTTTGGATGCAGAATCTCATGATGTGTGTCTGTGTAGTCACCTGCATTCTCTCAGTTGTCGCTGTTGCTGTGATCATCTGGAGAGAGCCCTTGGGAAATCATGATGTCAACGGTTTCTGTAAGTCACCTGCTTTTCTCCAGTCAACCTGAAATGTGTGTGTGAGTGCGTGTGATTACGTGTGTTGATGGGGGGAAGGAGATGGGAACAAAAGAAGTGGATAAAGAAAAGGTGGTAACGTGGTAGCAAGTTGTATTTGGCCTGACCTAGTTTGGGAGATGTGTGCTCTGTGGAATGATCTTGGGGGAGGGTTGGGGGGAGGGGGGAGGGAGGAGGGGGGAGACGGGATCCATACACAGAATGTCTGCAAAAGTCACTGAGAATCATACCATGTGACATCACATTCTCGTTGCAGCTGAGCTTCCTGGAAATTGAGCTTGTCTGAGCAAGATGTTAGGTCTTTGGAGACAACCGTTGGTATTCAAGCTATATCGCCCCTGTGCAGGGATAGCACACACAAAGTCCAAGATATGTCAAAGAAAGGAAGAAAAAAGTGTAAGATCATAAGAAGGCCATTCTCGCACTAGCACTTTCCTAAATGTATCTGACTGCAATTACGGCTAGACCTGGATGTATCTGACAACAATCACGTCCAGAGCTGAGTCAAAAAGTCCCAGGGTGAGTATGCACTAAGATGCGGGCATCGCTTGTTACTGGTTTGTATGTTGAGTGATGGAAGAGGAGAGGAACTGTTAGATCAGCCTGATAACCAAGAAGTGTCAAATCATTGGTGAAAAGTGCAGTCAAACTTTTGCTACATTGCCCAAGCCCAGGCTGCGCATGTGGCTACATTGTACCACATGCAATGTTCCAAATTGACTAATTTAGTCCTATGCAAAACGCCAATTTGAGCTAAGGACAAGGGTCACCATGAGGAAAAAGGGAAAAGTGAGACAAGGGAGAAGATAGAAAAGAAGAGGATGAAGAAGGAGAAGCAAAGAATGAATAGAATCAATCCAAACAGGGTCCCCAGCCTGAACCCACCTGCCTGCGTCACTCACCCTCCCCCCCCCTCCCCCCCCTGCCCAAAACTCATGGTGGTGCAATTCTGTGCCCACCATGATGTTATTCCCAGATCCGTCCTTATCTTTGAGTTTTGTTATGTCTCACCTTAGGGGTCTGGAAAGGGTTTAAAACTTTAAATGGGTCTAGACTCTAAAGGGATTTAGAAGGCCTTAAAGGGGTATGCCATATAACTTAATTATCTAAGTTGATTTTTAGTAACAATTTTTTGAGGAACTTCGGACTGACCCTCAGCCACATGTTGTTTGATTGTCCTTTGGGACATCTGTTAAAATTGGAATGATATACGGAAAGATTATACCCTGTGCTAGGACGGCGCACAGAAATCGAGAGAAACTCTAAAAAGATTTGTTTCATTTGCAGCTGTGCACGACATTCCTTCTTCCCCAGGCTGTTTTGAAGTTTTTAATTTTTATTTGTTTTTTAAATTTTTACTGCTGGGACTGGCTGGGAGCTTGACCAGGAGATTGCATGGAGGTGGGGGTCTAGAAGGGTGTTGCCTAATGTGAAGCTGTGTGGTTTCTGATTAGCATATCTAAGGTGTATGTTTGTTGGCTTAAAGAGAAACACATTTCTGCTCATGGCTTAAATGCCTCAAAGACCTACATAAATCAACTAGCCCCAAAACAAAAGGTCCCAAGGGTTACAAGAAGCAGGCACGGGATCCTCAGGTCTCAAGGCTCCGCCACTCACCAAACGTGCGAAATGAGAACGAATCTTCTGCTAGAGCACATACTGCCATAACTTTTGTCTTTGTTGCATGTGGTGAGAGATGGAGCGAGGCCCAAAGTATCCACTCTGCGTTCTTCAAACCACCAGTACCTTTCATGGGAAAGGCTTTCTAACTAGAATGTGTACATCTGTGCACTTTGGATGAACAGTGTTATCAGACCAGAATGGCTGGCGGTGGCATCCAAAGAAAAAAGAAACGTTCTCGCAGTGGTTCTTTTTTTTTTCTTTTTTTTTCTTTTTTCTTTTTTTTTTGTTGAAATCAGGTCCTTATGGCCCTGGCTCCGTTCCATTCTGGGGAGCAGCAGTCCGGTTCCTATTCCACCGGCAAGTCAGGACAGAGTATTACATCATTAAACTCACTCAACACTTTCTTCCGTCTGGGCGAAGGAACCCTGATCAGCATTGATTGTTCCAGCAACCTGGAGGATTGACTGTCAGCTTGCCTTACTTCCGCCTTCCCTCTCAGCCCCACTGTACGGACCTGCCAGATAAGTGATAAGGACAAGAATAGCGGAAGAACTGCGGGAGGTGAAAGGAGGCCGACTCTTCAGAGTTTTTCAAGTCCTCCCCTTTCCTCACCCCTCTCTCTTGTACCCCTACTGTTTTCCTGATTTATCTCTTTCCTTAACCCCTAAACCCTAATGCGTCTTTATCTTTAACCGCCTGACTATTGACACAAGCCATGATTCCTCTCTGGGGCCATTACGCCTCGTGTATGTCTACCCTACTACTCTGTGATCTTGCTGATTCCAGCGAAGCGAGATCTGTTGCTGTGTCTCTCTGTGGACAATCTTCTCTTCTCTTCCAAACCAGTCTTGGAGGGCCTCCTTCCACGGTGCCGAGTTTACCCGTTCCAAGCCTATTTTTGATAAATTTCTCTATGATTGCCTGCTTTCTTGGTGGATCTTCTTTGATATTCTTGACTGCCCGGTTCCAATCCGCTTGATATTCCTGCCGTAAAAGTTGTAAAACATGCTCCCACGCCTCCTGGGTCGATGTTTTTTGGCCATCTATCGTCTGTTTGCGTCGTGTCTTCCATATGATCCACAGAGTAAGAGGGCGAAGTTTACGGAAGAGGGTCTGCTGCCAGGGCTCATTGTGACTTGGTTGTTCCATGCCCGTTAAGAGTGTGAGCCGGTTGTCTGGTAATAGAGCTCCGACCGCTGCCAGCCAGAACTCCCGTGTTTTGTTCCAGATCCGTTGTGCATTTGGACAGTTTAGCAGGCAGTGCTGCATATCTTCTAGTGTTCCTTCCTCGCAGACCGCGCAACTGTCGTCAAAGTCCCTTCTAGCGATTTCTGCCCTTCTCCTGCTGAGCCATGTGTTAACTGGCAGAGCATGATAGTAGATGAGCCATTGCATACTTCTTATGCAGGTATTTCTAATGGCGAGAGGTATCTGCCAATTGAACTTTTCGATGTTGCCCAGGCAGCCCGAGGTGTGCTTCTCCCAGCGTTGGACTAGGACGATATCCGTGTTCACCGATCTGCGTCTGAGTTTGTAGCCAAAGCTGGTGGAATAGTCCAGGATGTTGGTGCGCTTCTGTGTCCCCAACGGTGTGGATCTTGTCTTCCATGCCCAATCCACTGGGTCAAACTCCAGATCCTGCAAGGGTATTCCGGGTTGATAAGCTCTGTAATCGTCATCCTTGATCACTCTGATTTTCCTGAGGAGGCCGGTTCTAGCTGTGACTTGGGCCCGGAATGATTTCGAGACCCTGCTCAGGTTGGACCTCGGTTGTTCGATGTCGTGTATGGACCATAATCCCCAGTCTCCCTCTGGTCCTGTCGCCTTGACATAGACCAATGCCTCCGAGGGGGTGTGTTCTGATTCCCACGTGGCCCACTCTCCTGCTACCCAGGCTGGGGGAGCTTGTAGAAACGTCTTCCAGTCCTGCGGTATGGATTGTACCATCGCCTGCAGGTTAGTTTCTAGGTTATGACATCCCTTGAGGGAATCTCTGAGCTCTGCGGCTGTCTTCCAGCGATTGCTTTGGTGGTTCCAGATGTGTTTGAGTTGCCAAACACCTCGTTCTAGCCACGATACCCAGCGAGCATCCTGTGTTGTCAGGGTCCATGGTTTATCGAAGGGGTCTTTCAGCCAGTGATTGCAGAAAAGTGGTTGTCGTAGAACTTCCTCCCTGTTGACTGGGCTGCGAACCTTGGCCGGAAAGATCTCTCGCCAGATTTTTATGAGGTACATCCAATATTCCGACCGGGTCTGCAGTGGCTCTTGCTGTTGTTCTTCCATCCGTGGAGGATTGGAGCGGGCCGACCAGGACTTGGACATCAGCCAGAAGGCTCCTTGCATATTCGGCGGTGTGGTGGCTTTGGGCGGTTGTCTGATCCTGTGCAAGGCCAGTGTGCTCCAGGGCGGACGCTGCTGCAGCAACAGTTTGACAACCCACTTCGTCTGAAGTGCCTTGATTTGGGTGGCCGGGTCGAGGATTCCCAATCCGCCTTTACTCTTTGGTTGGATGAGGTGCACCCAGGCCACCTTAGGTATGAAGCGCTGTGCCGTAGGGTTTCCCGTCCATAGATATGCCGTCGATCTCCGTTTGAGAGATGTGACCATGTTAGCCTCTGGTGTCCAGATGGTGGCTGCATACCATAACATAGAGAAGATGGACGCATTGAGTACTAGTGCCCTTCCGAAGACCGACGTATAAGTACTGGTCCATGTGTCCATTTTAAGATGCATCTTCGTCAGAATCTCGGGTGCCATAACCTGATCGGGGCCTGCGTGTGTGAGCTTGATCCCCATGAAACGCAGGGGCGTTTTTGGGTTTTGCCACTCAAAACCATCGGGGGAGGCTGTTTGTGGGGGTTGCGGGCAATCCGCCAACCACCAACCAGTGGTCTTGTGCCAGTTCACTTTCATTTCAGAGGCTAGCTGGAACGCTTGCATGACTCTAATGAGTCCCTGAAATGATGCTTCTGAGGCTGCGATAATAGTTGTGAGGTCATCAGCGAAGAGCAGTGTGGACGGCAGCGTTACCGCGTGCGTGGGAGGAGTCGGTTCTGCTATCAATCTATCGATGGATGGGTCCTTACGCAAGAAAGAGGCTATAGCTTCCATTGTGAAGAGAAACAGCGGTGCTGTGAGTGGGTCTCCCTGGCGAACCGAACGTGACATCTTGAAAGGGGTTGAAAGAAAGCCGTTTACTTGTACCTGACTGTGGGCGTTGTTATACAACACTCTGATCCAGTTTCGAGAGACAGGTCCTACCCCCATTGGTTCCATGCATTGTTGTTGAAAGTTCCAGTTGACTTGGTCGTAGGCCTTTTCGAAGTCGAAGAATAGGATGGCCGCGTTCAATCTCTTGTCTTTAATGTATCGTGTTGACTCCGCCAGCGTCATAACGTTGTCCACGATGAATCTTCCTGGGATGAAACCGGTTTGGTCAATTTGGAAACACGGGTTTGTGAGCTTGCTGAGGCGATTGGCCAAGAGTTTGGCTAGAACTTTATACACGACCGTCAGTAGCGTGATCGGCCTGTAGTTCTTGATGTCTGCCGGATCGCCTTTTTTCGTAGAGCAAGGTGAGCACCCCCGTACTTATGTATTTTCCTAAACCTTCTTCTGTCTCTGCTTTACTGAGGAAAGCCATGTACTCCTGCTGGAAGATTGGCCAGAAAGTTCGCCAGAATTCCTTGGAGAGACCGTCACGCCTTGGTGTCTTGCCCGGTTGCAGCGAGTGTAGCGCTTCTCTAACTTCCTCTTGGGATATGGGTTTGTCTAGCTCTTCACTCCGTTCTTGTGATAACGTCCTGTCCAGATGGTTGAGGAACTTTTGTCTGGCCTCTCTGACTGCTGCTTGTGGCAATTGATTCTCCCTGAAGGTGTAGAGGTCTTTGTAGAAATCTGCCGCCGCTGATAACATACGGCTTGGATCCGAAGTGATTGTATCTCCTGTGCGCAGCTGATCTATAAGTTTATTCCTTGAGTTGGATTTTATTTTCTGGAAGAAATACTTAGTCATCTTCTCACCCTGTTCCAGCTCTTTGACTCGTGCCCGAAGGCGTAGGCCCTCCTCTTTCCATCTCTTCCACTCTGCCATTCTCTGTCTAGCCGCGTCCAGTGCGTCCTCCAGCTGTGTTGATCCTGGCTGGGCCACGAGATTCCTCTCTGACAATCTCAGTACTGCTTCCAATTCTTTCTCCTTTGCTCATATTCTGGCTGCCAAGATGCGGGAAGCCTTGGCTGTGGCCCTGGAGAGACTCCCCACCAGATGTGGGAAGGATGGGGCACGTGTGCCATAGTCTTCGCAAACCTCCAGGATGTGCTGCTTCATTGTGTGTGTGTCAAGGAGTGAGTTGTTGACTTTAAAGAAACCGGGACCTCTCTTGATCGTTGCTTCGAGAACAAGGTGCAAATAGATGAACTTGTGATCCAGTCCTGGCGAGTACGGCAGGTCGCCAATACCTGCTGACTGCACTGCACCCCTTAGACTTTCCGATATGAGGAAGAAGTCAATGCGCGATGCTGAGATATGTTGGCTGCGGCTGCGCTTGAGATAGGTGAAGGCTTTGCTAGTGGGTTGGAGGGTTCGGTAGGGATCCACTAGCTGCTGTTCCGTCATCATATTGTGTATGGGAGCCGACTCTTCCCACGCCATGCCGTCCCCACCGACTGTTCCTCCTGACATCCTGTCCATAGCCGGATCCTGCGTGGCGTTCCAATCACCCACCAGCAGCAGGTGTGCAGGAGTGGTACATTGTGGTAAAAGGGAGCTTATGAATTCTGTTCTGTGCTGACGAGCGTTGGGGCAGTAAAGCGAGAGAAGGCGGAAGTGCTCTTGTTTGTAGTAGAAGTCCAGCCTCGCCCGTCTCCCTCCTGTATGGTCTAAGTGTTCCGCCTCTATGACTATGTCCTGTGCAACCGCTGTATTAGCTCGTACGAGAATGACTGTGCCTGCTGATCCGACCGTCGAGGCCGGTGCCCATAGAGCTAAGTGGACCCAACGAAGCCTATTGAGTATTTCCTTTTGTACTTGTTTGTGTACCGTTGATTCAGTCAGATGTGTTTCCTGTAAACAGAGTATGTCAGGCGGTCTTCTCTCGTACCATCCTATTGCATTTGTGAAGTTACCCCATTTTTGTTGGTTCTGAAGGATGGTAGCCAGACCATTGATATTCCATGAGATGATCCGCAGGTCTGGTGTTGGCTGCACGACGTCTTGAGACAGTTGAACCGCCTGATCGTTCATAACCCTCTAATGTTCTTTTTTTTGTTTCGGCACACAGAGGAGATTCGCATTGGGAAAAAAGGCTTGGAGGTACTGTTTATTTAAGGAAAGGAAGTTTCCCTTGGGTTTGCTTGCAGGCCGTGCCATGTCCAATTATACAGCTTGTGAACTCTTCATTGTACAATTTATGCACAACTACGTGTACTCGATTCGCCAAGTTGTATGCCTGCTCAGTGCTTTTCATATGAAAGTTTGCCACTCTGTCACATTTGCCACTCTGTCACATTTGCCACTGTCACATTTGCCACTCTGTCACATTCTGACCGCTTGCTTTATTTCTTCGACTGCAGACTTGAGACCAGCATATCTTGGGAGTGCTATCGCATCCGCTATGGCCATGCTTCTGTTGATCTGGCTTCCTTGCGTGGCATGGTTCTCAACATATCGTGCCTCTCCATCAATGATTATCTGCCTGGTGGGATCCATGGGTGAGTGTCCTTTTCTGTATGCATTGATTGCTGTGTGGAGAATCTATAGAGGTATGCAAAGGAACCCCCTTAAATCACCAGTACATGGCCCCAGCCTTGCAGTGCGAAACTTGTCGCCACAAGAAAACGAGGCCGAAACGTCAAATGCTGGGCCCGCCGTTGATAAATTTGATTGGCAGACCTGTTTTCGTTTCTCGCCTCCAGAATTTGAGGAGTCAGACCCACGGCCCAGGTGCCCATGTACTGGTGGTTTAAGTCTTAGCAGCTGCCGGCTGAAGTCGTCTCACTGGATACCACTTGGAAGGTCATGCGCATGGACAGTTTAGGGTGGAGGTTACACAGGTGCCGTATGTGTTACAGGCACGCTTGTGGTTAGCAGATGAGACATGCTTTGGACAGTGTGTGCTATTGCTGGATAAGTTGAGGAACGTGTAGGAAAGATTGTGGGGAATAGAGAAGGAAGAGAGTTTGGGAAGGTGTTTATCTGTTTTTCTGGGATTGGAGTGTCTGTTGTCTTGTCAGACATGAAACATTTCTGGGCGGGGTGGGGTCAGGAGAGCGGAGGAGTGGACAAACATCCTCATTTTGTCCATGCCTCCGGGAAGGAAGGTGAGTGAGGTAGTGCAACACCTGCATTCATGCACATCCACATAGGAGATACATAGATAGATAGATAGATAGATAGATAGAGAGAGAGAGAGAGAGAGAGAGAGAGAGAGAGAGAGAGAGAGAGAGCTGGCTCTCTGACTCACTGAATGTGTGGGGAAGATCTATGGGTTTTATGTATTTATCAGGTTTGTGTGAGGCAGATGTGCAAGGAACTATCGATGAGAACACAGAATTTTCCAGCAGTGAAAGACTCAAAGCAGAGCCAGCATACATGAGCAAAGTCGAAACTAGAACACACCGAATGAGCACACACACCTACACCGAAGTCTCTTGATAAAGAAATCCCGACTTCTCGCCGCCTCGGTGATGTGACTGCCTATACTCCTATCCTAATCACTCACTACACGTAGCCTACTTCTCTCTCTCTCTCTCTCTCTCTCTCTCTCTCTCTCTCTCTCTCTCTCTCTCTCTCTCTCTCTCTCTCTCCCCTCTCTCTCTCTCTCTCTCTCTC